AAATAGGCACAATTAAGGGGTAAAAAATATTATATTTATTTTAATAATATTTTTAGAATTTTGATTAAAAATATTTTTTATTTGAACTTTTAAATGGTGATAAACGTGATAAAAAATACCCTGTTATATAAACATTCAATCATTCGCACGAGCAGTTTAAAGGGACTGTAAGCGTAATTTCAAGTTACCCTCCATGCTAAGATTGCAATGTCCGATTGCAACGCCGCCGGTGTCCTTGTAAGCTTTGTCTCATTAAGTACGAATTAGAACTCAAGTTCTTGTTTTAGAAAACTATTTATTTTTATTTGTGGTTTCTCTGCGAAAGTATCTGAAGAGTCACTTGAAATTACGCGTACAGTCCCTTTAACAGACAAATAGTTATATATTATAGTACGGTGATATGAATTTTCATTGGTTCCCGGTTTTTCTCCAATTTTGTCCTCAATTTAAATGAAAATATATCTTATTTCTGCTATAGATTGGGAAAAAATTTAATTTAAAAATGTTTGAACCTTTTCGGTCCAAAATCTGTATAGCACTGCAAACCAAAAGTAAAAAGCTTTTGCACAATTATTTTCTTTTTTTTACTTGTTTTAACCCGGTTCAGGATAGAACAGACCTTGGAGATAATTTAGTAAATAATTGAAATATTTTAGATTTCCTCGTTCAACTCTCGGAACTTAAATATGTTCAACTATGTAACCGACAATACGTTTATTTAACAAATTTTTTTAATATCGTCGCCAGACAAACATTTTTCTTTAAAATAATACTTTGGTACTTTTTTTCAGATAACTTAGCTTCCTGAAGATTACAAAAAATTATTGTTATATTTTTAAACAATTATGCTAAAATGTAGATTCATTTTTATATTACATTTTTTACCGTTTTAGATTAATATTAAATTAATTTGTCATAATTAGTCTTTCACGTCATTTCCTCTTTCATTTAATTTGCTCTTGCACGTCATTTGCTCTTTCATTTATTTTGCTCTTTCACGTCATTTGCTCTTTCACGTCATTTTCTCTTTCACGTCATTTGTTCTTACATTTCATTTGCTCTTTCACGTCATTTGCTCTTTCACGTCATTTGTTCTTACATTTAATTTGCTCTTTCACGTCATTTGCTCTTTCACGTCATTTGTTCTTACATTTCATTTGCTCTTTCACGTCATTTGCTCTTTCACGTCATTTTCTCTTTCACGAGGGTGAACGTGGTTAAGGGGGGGGGCTACGGGGGAAGCCATTTTATTTCAAAAAGTACGTTTGAAAGTTTTGTTGAGGAAATTGTTTGCATATTTTCATTTCTGTTATTTTAAAGTTTTTACCGGAACTTTTCATATTCTAACTGACAATTTGAAGTTTAAAAATAAATAATTAGTCAACACTTTTCACTCTAATTAGTCCCCTAGTATTTCTGCATTGGAAATTATTTTGCTCTGTAAAGGAACCAGGCTCCATTAAACGTGATAAATCGGATTCCCAGTGGTACAATCAAACACAATGTTTGATCTAGAATGAATAACAATCTTTGACACTTTTGGATTAATGCTGCAAAGACGAAAACGGATTTTATCAAAATCAAACACTTGAAAACCACAAGAAAAAATTTTCCAGTGTTAACAACAAAAAGCCAAATATCCATCAAACTGCAAAAATGCTGGGTTTTTTTTCAAATTTAATTCTCATAATAATTCAATTAACATACAAAATAAATAAAAAAATGTTTCAGAAAAGTAAAAAAAAATTTATCATCAAAATTACTTTTAAAATCAGCGAGGTAAAAATTAAAGATTATATGATAGTAAAAATATGACAGTTTTAAGTGTGTTAATGTCAGTGTTTTAAGTTCTTAATTTTTTTTTTTTGACAAATTCGAGTAAATTTCACGTAGAAACGAAATCTTTTATGTTTTCAATCATAACTCCGACTAACGAAGAGCTAAAAAGAAGGATAAAAATGGCTTGAATTTTCAACATGCATCTAACAAAATAAATATTCTTTGCTCATACTTGTGCGTAGAGGAGTTACGAGGTCACAAAGTTGTACCAGTAATATCTTCTCCTTGTGTCTAGTTACCATGGATGTATCGAACTGTTAGTAATAAACAGATCTTTATTGCATAAAAGTGTAGTCATGACCAGAAAACTGTAGAATAGGAAGACGACATTATAGTATTTTTGAAGTGCATTTGATGTTGTTTAAAGCATATAGCTTTACTTGAAAGTTATTAAATTACGTATTAAGTAAAATGGGTCTGTTTACATTGCAGAATTGCTGTGTCTCATGTTCAATGCGCATTTAAAAGTCATAACTTGAGTTCAAAAGTCAACTTCCTATTCCAGAGTTTTCTGGTTATCAAGGTATCAACCTAAACCTTCTTTTAGTTTTTGTAAACACTCCCTTTAAAAATTGAGACGTTGTAGTTTATAATTTAAATGTTGAGCTTAGTCTTAGCCAAGAGAATGCCTTGACCTGAAAGCATTTAATTTAACATGACACATGATATATTTGTAAAATTGAACAATGGGCACAATATTATTTATTTATATTTAAGATTTAAAGAGACTGTTTGTGTAGTTTCAAGTATCCCTCCTTGTAAAGATTCAAAACGGTTCCCTCTAAACCTTTATCTCCTCAATACTATTTCATACTTGAACGACAACGCTTTTAATGGTTCTGTTATAAAGCAAGCATTGTCATCTTTGCACGGAGGGTCACAAAAAATTAGTATTACAGTCCCTTAAATTAGTATTACAGTCCCTTAAATTAGTAGTACAGTCCCTTAAATTAGTATTACAGTCCCTTAAATTAGTATTACATTCCGCTAAATTAGTATTACAGTCCCTTAAATTAGTATTACAGTCCCTTAAATTAGTATTACATTCCCTTAAATTAGTATTACAGTCCCTTAAAATACAAAAAAAAGATAAAGTAGTAATCTCTGTTTGAGACCGTTATAAATATAGCCCTGATGATACATCAAATTTACATAGTTTAAAAAATAAATGTAAAAAAAAGACTTTTTCAAAAAAGTCTTCCTGATCAATAAGATTGTAGGGAGGGTTCTGTTCTTCTGAGATACCCTGGGTTCACCTTTCTAATATCACTGAGGCGTTCTCTATTTTAAGTTAACAGCAATCGTTAAAATTCAATAAAATTTATCTCTGTACTTTGTCGTGAGTTCGATACACCGCAGCTTGGCAACACTTTCTATTTCTATAAATAAACTTTTCCTTCCGGAANCCTCTTTTACGTCATTTGCTCTTTCACATCATTTTCTCTATTACGACATTTGCTCTTTTACGTCATTTGCTCTATCATATCATGTCATATCTCTATTTCGCTTTTTGCTTTACCAAGTCCTTTATCACCACATTTACACTCTATTACTTCATTTGATTTATCACAAGATTTGCTCTATCACAACATTTTCTCTTTCACTTCATTTGCTATATCACAACATTTTATCTATCACGTCATTTGCTCTTTCGCGTCATTTGCTCTTTCACATTATTTTCTCTATTACGACATTTCCTCTTTTACGTCATTTGCTCTTTCACATCATTTTCTCTATTACGACATTTGCTCTTTTACGTCATTTGCTCTATCATATCATGTCATATCTCTATTTCGCCTTTTGCTTCACCAAGTCCTTTATCACCACATTTACACTCTATTACTTCATTTGATTTATCACAAGATTTGCTCTATCACAACATTTGCTCTATCACAACATTTGCTCTGTCACAACATTTGCTTTATCACAACATTTGCTCTACCACTACATTTGATCAATCACAAAATTCGCTCTATCACAACATTTGCTCTATCACAACATTTGCTCAACATTTGCCCTATTGCTACATTTGCTGTATCACAACATTTGCTCTATCACAACATTTTCCCTTGCACAAAATTTTCTCTATCACAACATTATTACAACATTTACTCTATCACAACATTTGCTCTATCAAAACATTTTCTCTAACACAACATTTGCTATATCACAACATTTGCTCTTTCAACACATTTTTTCTAACACAACATTTTCTCTATCACAACATTTTCTATATAACAACATTTGCTATATCACATCATTTGCTATATTACAACATTTGCTTTATCACAACATTTTCTCGATGCAACATTTGATCTAAGTATACGTAACTTTTATTTAGGTTAAACTTGCCATTTGCTCTAAATATATAACCTAGGATAGTAGCCTTGCCCTGCCGCTGCGCTCAGCCCCTCATGCAGCGCCTCAAAAGGCCTTACCTACATAGAGCATTGAGCATATGCCGTCAAGAGCAACCGTTAAAGTATCTAAAGAGGCACAGAGCAAAAGAAAAAAGAAA